AACGAGCGCGGTCAGCAAAAAATACATGCAGTTCCGATTAATGACTGCCGTCCCAACAAGGAACAACTGAGCGGCTCTCCGTCAGAGGGCTAGCTAGTGAGGCGGTCCAACTGAGCAGGCGTTAGAACTAGAACTTTGAGCGGTTCTAGCTCGCTCCTCGCTCGCTGAGGAGTCGCGAGAGTGAGACAGTATCTAGCTTGGGGGCTGAACTACCTGCCCAAGGACGACCATGTACTACTTGAGCGCGGGGGCTGTCTTTAACAGCAAGTGGGAAACGGGTTGGACACCAGATTCATCCCGTTTGACACGCCCTACCGTCCGCAGCTAACTACGTTATAGTTTTTTCCTTGCGCCCGTGAAGAGCGAAAATGGTGTGTTGCGCAGCTCAAATAACTAATGGCTGGGTGGTAATCGACGCAGTAGTGACGAAAAAAGCGGGAAAATCTCGCCAGAAATATATAACCCCATTCTAAATTGTGCTTGCACATGCATAAGACAAATAATGAGCGTGGTCAGTCGACTTATTACTTGGTGCCAGCTTTTTCTCCTCATCACCCCATTTATTCCACTAGAAATGGTGAGGGCTAGTAGCTGGACAACCGCGCCATCAGAGAGCAGTCAAAAGTGGATGTTGGGCGTTGCCACGGCCAGTGGGACGGGGACGCGGTTCCGTCACATGCGAGTCGCGCTTTCCTCGTGCACTTTTGAGCTGTGAAAGAAGTACATCCTCTGTATTACACCCTACTACCATTCAGGACTACCATGTCCAAAAAAAGGCGTCTGAACATCGAATAAACGCGAAGTGTGCTCTTGACCAGGCAAACAAGGGGCTTTTGAAAGGACTTCATTAGATTAATAATTATGACACAGTCCCTACGCGAATATAAATTTGTTTCGTTGTTACTGTCTTAGGCCGCGTTCATAGCTTGCGACCATGAAGAAAGTGAAGAAGTGCCGAAAGTGCGGAAAGTGAAGAAAAGCAATAGATACGTATCGATTTGAAGAAGAAATGCCGAAAGTGCGGAAAGTGCGGAATCTGAAGAAATGCCGAATGTGAAGAAAAGCAATAGATATGTATCGATTTGAAGAAAGTACGGAAAGTGCGGAATCTGCAGAAAGTGCGGAAAGTCAAATCGATACATATCTATTGCTTTTCTTCACATTCGGCATTTCTGCAGATTCCGCACTTTCCGCACTTTCGGCACTTCTTCACTTTCTTCATGGTCGCAAGCTATGAACGCGGCCTTACTGACACTATCAGTGTTTCTCGGAGAGCGATGAGTGCTCTATATGAAACATCTGCAAGTTCTATTTGTATTAAGGAGATGTATGCGGATGAACTCACTATCCTTTCCGAAGGAGCCAGTGGCGATGAAGATGTCGAGGATAGTGACCTCAATGACGACGATGATGATGATGATGACGACGACAGTGTTGACATAGATACCTCGCATGGTGAAGAAGAACGTGAAGTTGATGACGACGAGGACTATGAGGGCGATGATAGTGTTGATAGCGATCATTCTGATGGAACTAGAAGTGCGGACGAAGAAATACAGTCCAGCAATCGTGAAGAGGAGACTGACGACGATGTTGACAATGATTCAGAGGTTTGTTAAATTAGTTCCCTCTGCATCTTCTAGAGTCTCAATGAAAGGTGCACCAGCTTTCCGCTGCTTGCAACGTCGGCATGTTGGTTGCGAGATTTTCAGTTGTCTTGTGCTACGGGGTTTTTATGTGGAACTTTCTCTTAAATTGGTCTGAATTAATCGTCTTCTTCTGAGGAGGATTTCACCGTTCAAACAAAAAGTCCGTTGCACACTACAGCGCTCGAGTAGAAAAATTTAGCGCTATTAGTTTTTTAACTAGAAGAAACTAAAGAAAACTAAGCGGAAAACCAGCGGAATGCAGCGGACCTTCCCTCTCAAACGGTGGAACCATTAGCCTCTAAAGAGGACGATTAAGTCAAAATTTCAGGACAATTTTAATGAAGGTTCCACTCATCAACCTCGTAAGGCACATGTCAGTTGAAGTCATGATGAAAATTATAGAGCCGATTTTCTGCCAAAAAAAGAGATTGTTCCATGTACGGGTTGACCTTTTCGCTATCTCCTCTTTTGCTTGAAGTAATCTGTTTTACAGGAGAACGAAGATAACGCGACACCTTCAGAACGAACCAGATATTCCATCGAGAGTGATGACACTCAAACCCTTTTTGATACCATCGATATTCTCGAAAATCTTTCAAGACAAGGTTGAGCTTTCATATTTCCTACTATCTTCGTTAAAATGGAGAGAGTTAGTCCTGGTGACTCGTTGGTGGATGAACTCGTTCCAACACGGTCATGTCTTAATTTTGTTTTGTTCGGTGCTTATCAGAGTTCGGAACGGTTTAAATAATACTGGCTTCCATGAGTTTCGACTGATTCGAAGGTTTTAACCACCAAACACATATACTTTCTCGCTGAGGAACAACACTGCTGTTGCATGTGCAAAATCAAGAACGTTGCAGAGATTTCGCATTTCATTCTGTCCAATCCACAATGTGCACCTCGAAATTATGTAGAGCCTGTTAAGGCAGCCTCTTTACCGTTCGAATCTTCTGTGCAGTGCATTTTCAGCAGTGGGTTGGCTCTCAAAACGGTAGTTTCCAACAATGAAGCGTTGGTCTAAAAGGGCAGCTGTCGGACGGTTGGAGCCGATTTGAGGCCTTTTGCCAGATTTATTCATCCTTTTGGCTTTGGGCATCAGCAGCTTCAGTTTTCGAGACAAAGTGGAGGGAGAAGATAATGAGGTGGTGTGTATACGGAGAAATAAGGCAGACCTCCATGCTGCAAAAAAGGGTATTTAGCATTGAGTGACTGTTACCGAGAAAAAGACTGTTTCGCTGGGAATTATAACTGAGCTGATCAGTCACCCAAAGCTTTGCTGAATAGTTGTGTATTCTATATTCCGAGTATTATGTGATGTGTTCCCTTCAGTGTTGCGACCACTCGCTACCCTGGCTTCATTGACTGGTTTCGATGCTGAGGAAGATGAGCGAAGTAGCGGTGAGCTGCACTAATTTCGCTTCGGCCAATACTCCTTCCTGCTCTTTTTCGCTAGGAGAACACAACAGTTTGCCTTGATTTTTTTTTGTGATGAGGTTCAATTTAAGAGTCTGCGGAAGTATTCACTAATGAGGAACCAGACGATACAGTTATCAGGTAATGGGAAGCTATTTATCTTGAACTTTTTGATCATGTGGTCCTTTGTTCATTTTTTTCCTAACCATAAGGCTGATGAGGCGGTGGTGGTTTAGTGGCAAAAAACTGAAAAAGTGTCCAAAATTTCTTTACGGAGCCAAAAATCCCCTTTTTCCGAAAGCTACCAAGTCCTCCTAGAGTCTCGACAGTTCAGAAGAAATTTTAGATGGGCAGCTGATGGACCAAGCTCTGATCCACTTAGAAGTTCGTCTTTTTCAGTGCACTTGTAAGAATACTCACTTGGGAGCCTTGACACATTGAACGCCGACGTGAACTGTCGGCAATACACGCGCATACTCCCGTTTCTCAAGTTTTGGGTGTCGGTTTTTTCGTGAATAAGAGTGCGACTTGAACCATTTTCACCGAGTATCAGTGAGCTTTGCCTATGCTTAGTTCTTAATGGCGTGAAATAAGCTGCTCACTGGAGTCATTTATTAACATTACAAACTAAAGTCAGTGGCACGATAACTGCACTTCTTATGATAGCTCCGCATCGATTCAATGGTAGTAAGACTTCTAGTGATAATCAGTTTTAATTCACAATACATTTGATAGTGTTTAATTCGATATGATAACAACCAGTTTGGCTGACGCGCATTACTGCGCGAAAACCTATGGTACTGAACAATGGCAGAATTTTTGTGGTGGCCCCTAAAACTTCGCCTTTTTCCCATGCTTCAAAACACGGCCCATTTCATCATAATTCTCCTCTTTAATGAACATTTGCCAACGTATGGTGCTTATCACAACACTCACCATTCGTTGGAAATGAGGCAACTTAGCGGTTGAAAGAGTTTCAATGGTAACAATATCGAAATCATAGTGAAGTGTTCTAACATCCTAATTCTTCCGTGAGCAGCTTTCACATATCGGTCTATTGGCGACTCTTATCATTCCTCACTGGCAAACAATTTTAGGCTTTTACTTCTGGGTGGTACTCGAGAGTTTAGCGGTCGGATCAACTCCGACTACATCCTAAGGGATAGGAACATCTCTGCTCACTAAGGTTTAGCCCATTAATTCTTGGACCACGGTGGTCAAGTTCAGTCGCAGGCATAGCAAAGATGCAGCTCCCCGTTGTTGCTCCGACTCTTGCATTGAATTTTGAGGCCTTCCTGAAGCGGGCCCCCTATGGTACTTTATCGGCTGTTATCAGGTCCTGCTACCACCAATAATGTTCCTATCCTGCCCCATATATTACTTCTTGAAAACAACGTTCTACCGTCGCTGTGACGCGCACTATGGTGTTAGTGACCATTCCTTTCTAAGGCTCCTTATGGTATCTTATCAGCTGTTATCACTTCCTGCCACCCACCGAAAATGTCCCCATCCTGTCCTCTACCTTACTTTTTAGAACCAACGTTCTACCGCTGCTGTGACGCGCGTTATGATGTTGCTGAACTTCCCTTTCTAAGGCTCCTTATGGTATCTTATCGGCTGTTATCACTTCCTGCCACCCACCAAAATGTCCCCATCCTGCCCTCTATCTTACTTCTTGGAACCAACGCTCTACCGCTGCTGTGACGCGCGTTGTGAATTTGGTGACCCATACCTTCTAAGGATCCTTATGGTATCTTATCGGCTGTTATCACTTTCCTGCCACCGACCAATAATGTTCCCATCCTGTCC